AAAAAAAAAAAAAAAAAAAAAAGCCAGCCAGGAAGGAAGGAAGGCAGGAAGGAAGGGGCATTCAATGAAAACTTCTTGAATGGATACAAAACTTTACAGTATTTATAGATTTAGAACCCCTGATTCCAACGCTCAGTTTATAACTCTCTCCCCTTCGTAGGAAAAAGACAAAACAGCAAACCATCCTTATTTAAGCAAGAGCTAAATGTCAAAACTATACAAATTCTAAGAAATGGAAAATGTAATGTTTGCAAAGTTCCCGTGAGAAATTTCTTAGCACAGGAATTATGATTTCTTACTGGTTGACATTGGTGTTAGCAAACACACAGGTGCCTATTCATTGAACCTGCTTCCAATCAGATAAAAGAACAATAACTATGTGTTACTACACCTGGCATTATGACACTTAGTACAGTAAGCGATGTCACAGTGAACCTCACAGAGGTTCATGCAACATCCTCATGGACCACAGGTAGACTCCTCAGGATCTGCCTCTAGGACTAAGTACACATGGGTCCAAAATGATCACAAAACTCTGAGTAGTGCATCTCACCAACATAAGACAGAAGTTAGTGTGGATGATAGCTAAACATTGTGTGGCACTGTCCTGGACAGAGAATAAAGGGGGCAGGAGGGGAAAAAAAAAAGAAAAGAAAAGAAAAGAAAACCTTTACATGAACTTTGTGTCCCTTAATGTCATAAATTTTCTCTTTGCTTCATTTAAAAGGGGGGGGGGAGGTGGAGAGAGGAAGGGAGGGAGGGAGAGACAGAGACAGAGACAAGCCCACCCTCAAGAAGGACCTGGACAAGAGAAGAAAGCTACCACTAATGACAGAAACTAATCCTTACTGAGACATCCTTAGTGTCACGGATTCTAAGTGGTTAAGATAAATCCATTTCAGTTTAAAAATGTCTTTGAGTTTTCTCTCCTTTGACCCTCAGAACGACCCTCTGAGAGCAGCTATTAAGCCTATAGTCGTTTGACCACAAAGGTTCTGAGCGGGAGGTGAGCGTAGATTAAGGTCAGAGAAGGACTAGAATCTGGGTCTTCTCCCCCGGAATCCCCTGCCGGTTTCCCCAACACAGGAGGAACAGGTCAGCGGGACTGCGAAGGGTAAGGTCCCGGTGCGAATCACCTGTGGCTGAGATGAACTTGTTGTAGTTCTCATAGACCAGGGTCTGCATGTCGCTGTCTAGAGCCCGGATCTGCCGCACCATGTCTGTTTCACTGTCCATCAGCTGGGCCAGGGGGCACTCTCTACGCAGCTGGAGTAAATGGGGTTGTTAGTGTTCAGGTCAGGGGGTACTCAGGTCCCTCAGGCTTTCAGAGCACGAAAACCCGCATCCCACCCCTGTCTGGAATCCTAGACATAGAGCCTATAAGTGGCACGGGTCGGGAGTTACTAGGTTCGGTCCTGTTTGGGATTTGTCAGCGTTTCAAACGCTCAGGCCCGGCCAAGGCCCCGTCCTTATGCCTGTCAGCGCCTGGGCCACGCCCCCTACCCGGGGCCCGTCAGAACGTCAGCCCAGGACACCTCCGACTCCGCATCACTTGAGGCCGGTCCAGATCTGCCCATGCCCCCCTAGACTCCAGCTCTGCCCCTGCTTCCTGCCCGACCGTCGTCGTCTTTTTATGAACCCCTGCTTCCCTCACCCCGCAACAAAGTCGAAGGCACGATCTGGGGGTGCAATGTATCGGGAGCCTGGTTCCCCCCACCACACAAACACACACCTTGTCCAGATACACTTCCGGGTCGAAGTGCGCCCCGTTGAGATCCGTCGGGTCCAGGGGGTCCGACCCCGAGGGGCGCCCCGCCGCCTCCCCCTCCGAGAGGCCATAGTAAAGCTTTAGCATCCCGTGCGCCTTCCGCCGACGCTCCGGAGCCTCTGCCTCGGGCCCCTCCGGAGAGTCCCCGGGTCCAGAGCCCGGGCCAGGCCCAGCGGCTGCCGCCGCCATCGCTCCAACTGCAGCCCACGGGCGTGAGGCTGGGAAGAGGACCGGGAGGAGGCACTTCCGGGAGCCATAAAGTTCTTGTTGAAACGAGGCAGTCCTGCAGGTGAAACGTCCCCCCGCAGCCCTGGGTCCTTCGAGACTAGAGTTCCCCCGCACGTTTCCTCCCCGAGCGAAGAGGTTCCGGGAGAAGCCTGGGCTCCCCCAGCTTCTCGGGTGGAAGGAAGGAGTGAGTGGAACTGGTCCGGTTGCTTCCCTCCCGGATGGAAGGCGGGTCCTGGCTCTCAACCCCGCGCACCCTTGCGGGCAAGGACCCCCGGAATATGGGGACGGAGCTCCCGCCGCGGAGCCAGAGAGCCTGTGCCGGACGTCCTGGCACTGGCTCCTTACCTGGGCGGCGGCGGCTCCGTTTCCCCCATTCCTAAACTTGGGGGACAGACTTCACAGTGGGGTTGCGAGTATTAAATGCCCGCACAAGAGGACAGGTAATGACTTGAAGTTCCAACTGAGATCACGATGAGCTTTAACGGAGAAAACGACTTCACGTCGTGGTCCTTGGAACATTACTTATGATGGGCTGTGGTGGGCTCGCGGCGGGGAGGAGAGGGCAGGGGAAGTGTTGGAAGGGAACTCACCTTGCAGGGGTCTTGCGGGCCCAACGCATCCTACCATGTGTTTTCCTATGGCCGGCGAGCTCAGAGTGTTGTTTTTTGTTTTCGTTGGTTTTAAACAATTAAGACTTATGTTTGATGATACATGAAAATTATTTAAGTTCATATAATCAGGCTAGATCTTAAAAGTTCTCATCATGAGAAAAAATGTGTCGCTATGTGACGGGTGTTAACTAGACTTAACTGTGATCCGTTTGAAAATATACACAAATAGCGAATCATCGTGTTGTACGCTTGAAACTAACGAAGTTATGTGAAATATTCCAGTGTCTATAGTTTTTTAAAGTATCTACTTATTTGGGGGAGAGCACAAGCGGGGGAGGGCAAGGGAGGGGGACAGAGGATCCGAAGTGGGCTCTGCACTGACAGGCCAAGAGCAGAGAGCCTGATGTGGGTGGGGCTCAAACTCACGAACTGGAAGATGGTGACCTGAGCTGATGTCACTCAACCAACTGAGCCACCCAGGTGCCCCATCTAGTGTCTGTAGTTTTATTTCAACACCAGCCATGACCAGTTGTATACATTTTATTTATGCCCACTTTTGCACGACAACAGCAGAGTTGAGTAGTTGCATCAGAGGCTATATGGCTGGCAAAACCTAAAACGTTTACCATCTGGTCCTTTCAAGGAAGTTTGCTGACCCCTGAAATCTATATTCAGAAGGATGTTCAGAGGCTGTTTAAAAAAACACAGTGTCGGGGGCACCTGGGTGGCTCAGTCGGTTAAGCGTCTGACTTTGGCTCAGGTCATGATCTCGTGGTCTGTGAGTTCGAGCCCTGCGTGGGGCTCTGTGCCGAGCTTAGAGCCTGGAGCCTGCTTCGGATTCTGTGTCTCCCTCTCTCTCTGTTCCTCCCCCGCTCTCCTTCCCTCTCTCTCTCAAAAATAAATAAACATGTAAAAAATATTTTAAAAAATACAGTGTCGGCCTATGAAGCTATAATCTTAAGAAAATGAAGAAAAGAGTATAAAGATTTAGATCTACTCCAAGAAGTCTATAAACTTAAAAAAAAAATAGGTTGCAGAACACTGGTGAGAAAAATTACCCAAAATTTGGAAATAAGACCCAAAATGCAACATGTCCTCCCAGTGCTATAGCCATCCAAGGACTATTTAAATACCCATAGGGATGAACATTTGATTTTGCTATTTACCACTAAGTGTTCAGATGCAGACATTACAAGTAGATATTGTGCAGATACAAAACATTTATATCCAGTAGAAAAAATAACTTCCAAAGTTGTATTTCTTATCGCCCTATAGGACATGAACCAGTTTTGTGTCTAACTTAGAATCATACTCTAACACTCCTCTTTAAATGCCTATCAATATCCAGCTCCCCAAGACGTATTACCACCCTACTGAGGGGGAACCCCTCACTGATGGGTTAATACAGCTTGGTTACATGTTCATTCCAGATCTAGCATCGGACTTTTAACATTTTGAAGATTATACTCTGACAATACATATGCTGTGATTCTCTACATATTTTTTAAATTATGCATGTATATGCACATGTACGCACATGTAGTTACATCAAGAAGGGACCCAAAAGGGGCGCCTGGGTGGCTCAGGTGGCTAAGCGTCTGACTTCAGCTCAGGTCATGATCTCACGGTTTGTGAGTTCGAGCCCCGCATCAGGCTCTGTGCAGACAGCTCAGAGCCTGGAGCCTGCTTCGTATTCTGTGCTGTCTCTCTCTCTGCCCCTCCACTACTCACACTCTGTCTTTTCTCCCTCTCAAAAATAAATAAACATGAAAAAAAATTTTTTTGAAGAAGGGACCCAAAAGATACCCACTCACCAAACTATCGAGGGGGTTACCTGTTAGGTACGTAGGAGGTGGAAGGCTCTTGCCTTTTCCTCTGTATGCTTGTGTATCATGCAAATCTGTTTTGTTTTTTTTTTTTTTTTTTTTTTTTTTGAGAGAGAGAGAGAGGGTGCAAGTGAGCGAGGGGCAGAGAGGAGAGAGAGAGAGAAAGTGGGGCTCATCTGGAGTGGGGTTTGTTTTTACTGGAAGCAGGGCTCAAACTCACGAACCATGAGATCATGACTTGAGCTGAAACCAAGAGTCAGACGCTTAACTGACTGAGCCACCCAGGCACCCATCGTGCAAATCTTTTACAAGAACAAGTTCACACACTACTTGGATACTTCCTTCAATGGCACTGAGCCAGGGACGCCTGGGTGGCTCAGTCAGTTGAGCAGCTGGCTTCGGCCCAGGTCACGATCTCATGGTTCATGAGTTCAAGCCCCACATCGGGTTTGCTGCTGTCAGTGAAAAGCCTGCTTCAGATCCTCTCCCCCCCCCACCCCTCCCCTACTAGTACGTGCTCTCTCTCAAAAATAAACATAAAAAAAATTTTTTTGAATGACACGGAGCCAGAAACCCTAATGCATAAAAGCTCATGTGTATTCACCAGAGAACCGAGATGCAAACTATTGTTTCAGCGGTGGGCCCATGGCTGGGCCCTGGGTGTCACCCCTGTGGTGTGTCAGAACGGGGGTCTCAGGGACGGTTGTGATTAAGGACACTGGGCAGCAAGCATGGTGTGGCAGGAGACTTTGGGTCTTGGCCAGACCTTGAACCTTACTTCTGGGGCAGAGAGACAGGAAGGAGGCCATGGGAGTGGCCAAGTTCATGTTGTCCTTCTACTTTAGTTCCCGGGAGTGTTCATGTCCCTCCACACCATTTCTGCCCGTTTTTCTGGATTCTGTGGTTGAGAGTCCTGGAGTTTTCACCTCTTACACGTATGGAGGAAGTGTTTTCTTCTTGCTTGGAAGTGTCCCTGCCCACTTAGTCTCAGTACTGGATCTTAGTCTCAGTACTGACTCCTTCACTCATGGCCGTGAGCACTTGAGCCGGCACTCCCTCTCTCTACCTCGAACTTGTGCACAAAACAGGATTTATGCCACCAGTCTCACCTGGGACTCCGGGAAAGGACAGAGATGATGGGGGTGAAAGTGCTGCGTGCTTGAAGGTGGCAGAGAAGGGCAAGCTGGTCAGCATCAGGCCCCTGAAGAAGAGGATAGAAGAGCCGGGTGCTCTCTGGACCTACGGAAGGCCCGGGGAAGGTGCCAGAACAGTTATGGGCACTCTCTCACCTCTTCCCTTCCCTTCGTTCCTCCCCATTAGGGGATGGAGCAGATACTTGGGGCTTGCAATTCAGCCCAGGCCTCCTTACCTGGGAATGCCCTCCGGCTACCCTTCTGGGGCCTAGTCTCTTGTTGGCCGAAGACTTGCTGTGGACCTGCGACATGCCCTTCCGCCGTTCCGAGCCCCGGCTCTGTACAAGTACCCACACTGCCTCCTCTGTGGCACTGTCGAGGGGACTCAGCGAGAAGGTACGCAGAAGCGTACACGGTGTGTGGGCAAGATGATACAGGACGCTGTCCCTTCATCAACCCAATGAAGCCAACAGGCTCCTGCTGGCCTGCACCTGTCATCCTCCAACCTCCCTTAATTTGGGAGCTCCCCTGGCCCCTCATGAACCACTCCTCTATTGGCTGGAACCAGCCTGGATTCTAGAATCTTGTCCCCTCCAATGTCCTTGTGGCCCTGGAACCCCACCGCTATTCCAAACTGTGCACTCTAGAAAGAGAAGGGCCAGCTGCTTCTCCTGGACAGTGTCGGCTTGCTCAACTCCGCCGTCTGACTGGAGTCTACGCTGCCGCCAGGATGCGGTGGCGGGACCGGCTGGCTGTGCTCTTCTTTCCAGAAGGCATGATGCTCACTGTGGCCTCACTGATGCTCTTCCTTGTACACCTGAGTGTCTTTGCCAGCGACGTGCACAACTTCTGTGTCACCCACCACTACGACCGCATGAGCTTCCACTACACGGTTGTCCTGATGGTAGACCGGGGCCGGGGCTCAAGGGCGTGGTCGGGGGAGGTCCAGGGGCTGATGGAAACCCCGCTGTTGTCTCAGGGGGCCACTCTCCCACCGGATGGGGCCTACAGTTCTCCCAGGTGATCGGCATCTGCTGGGCCGCCATGGGGTCACTCTACGCTGAGATGACAGATAACAAGTTTCTTCGGTGCTTTTCCCTGACCATCCTGAGTGAGTGGGGGTGGGGGCTGGGCTAAGGGGGAAGGGGAGCTTTGGATCCCTGAGACCTGGCAAAGAGCAGGCAGGGAATGCTGATGGGGGCTCTCTCCTCTGCCCAGTGCTAAATGGAGCCATGTTCTTCAACCGCCTGTCTCTGGAGTTTCTGGCCATCCAATACCGGGAGGAGAGTCACTGAGGCCAGAGGACCGGGCCGAGAAGGGGGAAGGAAAAGGAGGCTTCGGTGTTTTAATAAAGTCTGTCATTTATTTCCACCTGTCATCTCCTTTGTGGGGAGGAGGGTGGGAGGCTGGAGACCCAGGGTAAGCAGGTCAAGACAAACGTTTGAACTGCAGGGGCCCCAAGCCCAGCCAGCAGCCACTCTAGTGGACTTGGCTGGGCCTGGGATCTTAGTGTCTCAAGCTTGAAGAAGAGGAGCGGAGAAAAAAAGCCCCCAGACCTCCCCACCTCAGGCCCCCAGGTCCTAGGCTGGCCCAACTCCAAGCAAAGGCTCAGGAGGGTCCCACACGGATGTGAGGGTTCATGAGCGGGTCCAAGTTGGGATCGCTGTCGGCTGCAGCTCGGCCCAGGCGAGACATGAGGGCAAGGAGAGCCAGGAAGCCCAGAAGCCCCAGGAGCAGCAGCAGCCCTGCCCGCTGGAGCAGGGTCAGCGGCCGCTTACGAGACCCAGCCCGGCTCCTAGGGGGACGAGGGGAAAGTCAGGTCAGGTCCCCGCTCCCTGACGGCCCCTCAGCCCGGAGAGGAACCCCAGTCACAACACTTGTCTTCTGGCCCTAGGGCCACCATTCCTGAGCTTTGTTTCTTCATGCGTGCAGGGTCAACCCTGCACCTGCCCGTTACACAGGTGACTGTGCAGCTCAAACCAGCTGAGGCAACAACTTGTTCTGGAAACTGGAATGTGTCAGGCATGGTAGAGTCACTAAGGTCAGGTGGTGCCAGAGCAGGAAGAGGCCTCAAAGAGCCCAAGTTCAAGCCCCAGATACCTAACGGGCAAGGAAACAGCCCGCGAGTAGAGCAGACCCAAGACTCCTACTGCCAAGCTGCGGCCTCCCTGCACAGCCCAACACGAGGTGTCACTGCCCAGAACAGGCCCCTTCTGTCATGAAACCATCACGCCCAGGGCCTCTGGCTCTCACTTCCTCCCTTCCCCCTTCCTGCCATGCTGCCCCACCTGACCCTGTGTACCTGAGCAGCTGGGCCAGCCAGCCCAGGGCAGGCCGGCGACGGTACTTGTCATCATCACAATCCCCGTGGAGGCCTGGTGAGCGGTCATCGTCCCGCGTGTCATACACCTTCCTCGGGGCTGAGGCTGCAGGGGCAGAGCCACCGGTATCCACAGGCTCAGAGAAACTGGCCTGCAGCAGGGTGGGGGGTGGGGAGGGCAGGAGCTCCTTGCCCTCTCAGCCTGACAGAATGTCTCAGAATCGTGGGGAGGTGATGGCCATGTAAGAATGAGAGGGGAGGGCCCCCCCGGGAGGACTCTGGAACCCTGAGCTCCTTACAAGCCAGCCCACTCCCTTTCTATCTTCCTCTAGACTGGACAGTGCCCCGGCTCACCGTGAGTCAAGGGCTCAGGGCTGCCCATGTGGATCACCGTGTGCTGCTCGGGCCGGCTCGGGGAAGCGGGGGGCCGGGGGACTTGGCTGTAGAAGGCTGGGGCGGCGGAAGCGCTGGCAATCTCCTCTCGTTCTGGGGCACCACCGGCTATGGCAAGAAGAGAGCTGTCAGCAGAACAGGGTGGCGAGGGCCCCCAAAGGCAGTGCGGGCCACCGCTTACCATTAAAACTAGACCAGTCGGAGAAGTCAGAGGTGTTGACGGGCTCGGGTTCCGGGCTCACCACTTCATCGATCTGGAGGAAGGAGCCTGTGTCATCGGCCTGCCTAATTATGTCCCTCCCCACCCATCTGGCCCAGGTGGCACCCAGGGCAGATGGTCAGACAGACAGACAGATTCTCACCAGAGGAAGGCCCAGTCCTGCTCGGGCCCAGTTGACCGTGGCCAGCTTCTCTCTCAGTGCAGAAGCCACAGGGCCAGCCAGGTTGGTCGGGGGGAAGATGGGGCCACTGCAGCTGGGGCACTGGTAGCCAGCAGGCGCTGTGTTTCGGGGTAGCTGGGCGGCACGTTCGTTGAGGCAAGCCCAGTGGAAGAGGTCTTAGGGCCCATGAGACAGGGGAGGAGAGGTAAGAGGAAGAAGACACTTAGGACCCCTAGCCCAGCAACAGCCCCCAGCCTGCTCTAGGGACATAGGCGCACATACACCTAAGCCTGCAGCCTTCCTGTCCTCACTTAGGTCCATTTCAGCAGTGTCCCCTAAGACTTGAGCCTTCTTGGTCACCACTGACCCAGTCAAGGTAGATGCTACCAAGATCCCCAGCCCACTAGGAGGGAGAAGCCCACCAGGGTGGGAAGAAGATGCCAGCGACCCTTAAAGTGAGTCCTCTCTGAACCTGCACTCAACACAAGATCCTCGGGCTAACAGCTAATCAAGAACAGTTTCAGAAAAAGTTCCTAAACACACACAGGCACAGGGATGCATGCACACACCCACGGACACAAACGTACGCGCGCTTGTACACCTACAGTCAAACACAAGTACCGTCCCCTGTATCTGTACTCGTGGGCACACTGACTCGCACATGTACACATCTATACATTCACGTTTGTTAAAATTCAAGCACTGTCACCCACACATACTCCTGCGACCCCACAACGCACCTGTGTTCATATGTTCACACGATTTACCCGTTTACTCGTCCCCAAGTACTAAGGAACCCGTTAACACATGTAAAAACATAACCCACGTTAAATTCATGGATATAGATACACACATACACACAACGAGAAATACATACACGGAGCTCTCTTGCACTCGCTCCTTCAAAAAAGTGGAACTAAGACTCCTACACCGCAGTCAGGTCAAGGTCACGACACATGTGACTGCTGACTTCTTTTTGCTGATTTACTGTGGGAAACTCCCTTCCTCTCTCCCTTCAGCTCACTGTTGGTCCAGCCAGCTACTGCCCACAGTCATGATGATAACCACAAGTTTGATCGACTCTCCTTCAATCCTCAAAACGGGCAGGTAAGCAACGAAGAGCTTTAGGGGCGCCTGGGTGGCTCAGTCGGTTAAGCGTCCAGCTCTTGACCCTGGCTCAGATCATGACCTCACGGGTTCGTGAGTTCGAGCCCCGAATTGGGGGACATCAGTGTGGAGCCCGCCTGGGATTCTCCTCTCCCTCTCTGTCACTTCCCCACTCTCGCGCGCTCTCTCTCTCTCAGAATGAATAAACTTAAAAAACGAGAAACAAAAAAAAAAAACCTAGGAGCTTTAATTTTTAGGGCAAAACACTGAGGTCTAGAAAGGGAAAATGACTTGTCTGAGCTCGCATAGCAGGTAAATAATGTAGCAGGGCTAGAATTTTGGGCTCCAGCCTCCCAAGCTTGGGAGGGGGTGGTTTCCATTGCCCTGCTGCTTAGAGAGGCCCTGGAAACTGGTCACCAAGCTGGGCCTGTCCTGATCCCTCCCAAGGTGCTCAGGCCTCACCATAACAGACGAGGCGGGTCGTCTCCCGGTTGGCCAAGGGTATGTTGCACAGTCGGCAATTTGGATTGTAGTCGCTATCTTGGAGCCACTGCAGATAGGACTGGACAATGCACTGCAGAGGGAGAGAGAGGTCACAACTGGGGCCCATCTTCTCAAGGCCCAGCTGCTGGTCTCTCATCACAAAGGAGAATCATCTTTTCTTTTGTCCAATCAATAAACATTTATTGAGCCCACAGTGTGCTAGAGTCTGTCTTAAGGGCTGGGGATAGAGCCGAGAACAAAATAAACCAAGTTCCTCCCCTCCTGGAGCTTCCATTCCAGCCCAGGCCCTTCAGAGATTTGGAGAAAACCAATACTGCCTGCCCACCCAGTGCCCTGCTCAGCGGCTCCCATGAAGGACGCACCTTGGCGTGATTGGCTACCAGGCAGTGCTCGCAGACGTTGACCCGGTGTTCGAAGCAGAACAGATTGGTCACCTTCCTCTTGGGGCACTTGCAAAGTCCCATATTCGACTCTGAGAAAGGAGTCTGAGTTAACAGAGAATTCTGTTGTCCTCCACTACGAATCACAAGCCCAGATGGCTTCCACTCTGAACTCCTCTAGACACCTCTCATTATCGCCCCAACCCCCAATTCCTGCCCACTGCCCCGCTACATCCCTGGCCACGCCCCCTGAACAAATCCCGCCTCTAGTGACCCCCCATTCCTCCTGGATCCCGCCCCCCGCCACGTCCCTCCATCAGCGTCTCTCCGATACCAGCAGCCCCGCCCCCAGGGGCTCCGCCTGAGCCCCACCCCCTCCAAGCCCCGCCCCCACGTTCAATACAGACCCCGCTCTTCGTGTTCCCGAACGACCGCCGCACCGGTCCCGACAGGCGCGAGAGCTGGCCCGAGGCGCGGAAGGACAGACACCGCGCTCAGCCGAGCTCTGCGCTCTCTACCCCGGACCGCTCTGATTATCCCTCCGCTGCCACGTCTCTTCCGGGTGCGGCGCGCTCTGATGACGCTAGCGTGCCACTGGCCCCGCCCCTGCTGACGCTAGACGTGAAGACGGCTGAAGAGGTGAAAACTGAGCACGGCGGCCCTCCCCCCTTGCGTCACTTCCGCTTCCTCCCAGCCAGGCGGGTAATTCGAACGTTTCTGTCTCCGTCGGCCCTCCGGGTTGGCGCGAGCCCTGGCGGCGGAGACCGTGGCGGAGATCGAGACCAAGGCTAATATGTCCGAGAGGCGAACGCGGTCCGGAGGGGCCGCCCAACGCTCCGGTGAGCGGAAGACGCGCGGGAGCCTGGGGCCGAGCCGTTTGAGGGACGGAGCCCCGTGAGGAAGGCCCTCCCCCACCGCTCTAGGAGGCTCCTTCCCGGGAAGAAGCCCCAAAGGGCTTGTTTGGGAACTTTCTCTCGCCCTCTCCTGAACTTGTTCTCTAGACTCTGAGGTTTAGAGCCCTCCCCTACCTCCTAACTTTTTTCTCTTCCCAGGGCCCAGGACCCCGTCTTCTACTCAGTCTCCGCGGAGGTCCCAGCGGAAATCAGGCCCTGATCTCCCCAGCACCCTCCCTGAAATCTGGCCCAAGGTGAGCCCGGGATTCCTCAGTTTCTGCCTCGGAGGCCGGTGGAGTAATGTGTAGTTCATGTTCACTCCTCTTTTCCAGGCATCCCCTGCGGCTCCTGTCAGAAAGCCCATCGTTTTGAAGAAGATCGTCGCCCATACCGTAAAGGTGAGGGCTAACAGAAGGGTTGTGGGTTGGGAGCCAAAATTGGGGGTGGCTAAGTGATCAGTTATTACTGTCTCCACAGACCCCATCTGTGCACACGCCTCGAAGGAGCCCAAGGGTGAGTTCATTTTCATCTGCTTAGTTGAGTGGGGAGCACTCTAGAAATGGGGCAGGGCATACTGGCTGCTCCCATCTGCCCAGGTAACTGTTTTGAGGTACAGATCTTCCTCCCGTTAGGACGGGGTTACATCCTAATAAACCTATCGTAAGTTGAAAATATCCTAAGCCAGAAATGCATTTCATACACGTAATCCTTTGAACGTCATAGTTTGGCGAAGCTTGCCTTAAACGGGCTCAGAACACTTACGTTAGCGCGCCGTTGGGTAAACCATCTAACGCAAAGCCTATTTATAACAAAGAGTTGGATACCATTTAATTTCTTGAGTTCTGTATGAAAGCGAACAATGGGATGGTTGTACGTTCTATCCATTGTTTACCCTCCGTGATCGCGTATCGGGAACTGCCTGACGAGAGAGTATCTTACCCCGTATCACTAGCCTGGGAAAAGATCAAAATGTGAAATGTGATCTCTGCTGAATGTATATCAGTTTTGCACGGTAATAAGGTTGAAGAATTTTGAGTCCGACCATCAGTAAGTTGGGAACCATCTGTATTTGGAAACAGGTTGCCTTTGGAAACCTACATACATCGCCCGTTTTGCGCACTCCCTGTGGACTTAATAATACGTTGTGGTCTTGTGGCGTTCTAATAGTCTATATTGTTTTCCTTGAAGAACTGAGCTGTGTCCCAACTCTTCCTCCTCCTTTCCAGTCTGTCTGCTCTGTTTGTGAGTACTGGTTGTTGTAAGAGAAACGTACAGCATTTGTACTGGTTTAGCAGGAGTTACTAAGGGTGTTTCATTAACAGAAAACCTGTGCCTGGGGAGACAATAAGTGGAAAACGCTAGCTGCCTTTTAGGAGCACATGGAACCCCCAGTCAAGTGGGGAGAAAGACCGATGAGCAAGCGATAGTAGCCTAGTGTGCTGAGAACTGCAATAAGAAAAGTACTAGAGGTCAGGAAGGCACCTAACCCAGACTAGCTGTCCCTGCGATTGTGTCACAGAAGAAGGAAGGTTTCAACTGAGTCTTTAAAGACAGTAGTGTTTGGGCACAGGAAGCTGTGTTTGCCGCGACCTCTTAATTCACAAAATCCCGAGGCGTGCAGAAGGGCAGCTTGCTCAGTGTGCCTTTGGTGATCTTGTTAGGGGATGGAACAGGCTAAGACAGAGCAGTTCCTGAAGCATGAAAGCCACACTCGGGAGCTTGGGCTCCATCCTTGGCACCGCAGGAGCCTTTGGGGAGTCGGTAGTCCCCGAGGCATGCTGGCGTGTTTCAGAAAAATCCCTCTTGGGTCTGGGTGGAGACCGGGTTGGAAAAAGCCTGCTGCTGGGGACCCGAGGCCAGGTAGGAGGACTTGACTGAAGTGACATGGTGGGGGCCTGAAGGAAGGGAAGGGCAAAGTGATGCTCTGCCCCTCGGCTCACCACGTGACCATCCCATCACATAGGACTCGGCTTAAAGGACACCTCCTGGAAGCCTTCCCTGACCACTTGCACCCTGTCGCTGTTGCGTTTCTCTTCGTAGTTCTCGTTAGGCCTTACAGATACCTGAGAATATTTGCGTGTGGTCTTGAGGGCGGGGACTTCTGCCTCCCCGTGGTAATCCCTCATTCTTGTTGGTTGAATGATAGGTTGATGATATACTGATCAAAACTGCAAGGATTTGGACGGTTGTTTGGCTGTAGGGGATGAGGAGGAAGTAGTCTAGGGTGACCCCCATTTTGTTCAGCATCCCCCCTTTTTTTCAGTTTATTTGAGAGACAGTGCAAGTGGGGGAGAGGCAGAGAGAGAAGCGGGGAGAGAGAGGGGGGGAGAGCACGCACGCACAAGAATCTCAAGCACGCTCTGTGCTGACAGCGTGGAGCCCAAAGCAGGGCTTGATCTCACCAACCATGAGATCATGACCTGAGCTGAAATCAAGAGTCGGATGCGGGGCGCCTGAGTGGCCCAGTCGGTTGAGCGTCTGACTTCACCTTAGGTCATGATCTCGTGGCTTGTGGGTTCAAGCCCAGCGTTGGGCTCTGTGCTGACAGCTTGGAGCCTGGAGCCTGCTTTGGCTCTACTCGCGTGCTCATGCGCTCGCTCGCTCTCTCTCTCTCTCTCTCTCTCTCTCAATAATAAACATTAAATAAGAGTCGAGTGCTTAACTGACTGAGCCACCCAGGCACCCATATTCAGCATCCCCTTTACTAAGACTCCTGGGGCAGATTTCTAGTGCTTGTAGCTAGGAAGTGTCTCTCTTGATAACCAACATACTTCTGTTAGACCACAAGAGTGGCGGAATTTGTCCTGTTTCCTACCTTGTCTTGGCTGCCAGAAAGCTCAGTGTGGAATTTTGTGTACATTTGTTCACTGAGCATTTATGGAATGCCTGCTGCACGCAGGGCTTTGCGGAAGGTGCTAGACGTAGGCAGGGTCACCCAGACGGACGAAGACCCCTTGCTGTCAAGAACCTCATATTCCAGTTGGGGTGATGGTTGACCAGTGAACAAGCCAAAATCCGAGAGTGGTGGCTGCCGGACGAGATAGGTCAGGGTGGCAGCAGTAAATAGCAGTGGTAGGAGGGGCTGGTCTCTGCTCTATGGTAAGAAATACCTTCTCTGAGGAAGCCGCGTTTGAGCTGAGAATAGAATTTTTAAGGAGCCAACGCGTGGACCTCTCTTTTTTTTTTCTCTTGATTGTGTTAAGTTTATTTCTTTATTTTGAAGCAGGAGAGGGGCAGAGAGAATTCCAAGCAGGCTCCACCTACTTAAAATTCCAACCCACCCCCAGTCCTATCTTGTCCTGTTTTTTTTTTCCGAAGCGCTTAGTACCTCTGACGTGCTACATGATTTTTCCCTGTTCGTTAGCTCTGTCTTCCTCCCACGGGAACGGAAGCCCCATGGAGACCGGGTTTTCTCTGTTCTCCCAGTGCCTAGAACGGGGCCTGGAACGGGGCCCGTGACCAATAGGTACTTACTGACTGGATGCACATTTTAGGAAAACTCTTGCCAGCTGTGTGACATATAGACCACAGAGGGCACAGGCAGAAGCAGGAAGAGAGGTCAAGAGGTTACTGCACTGGTCAGAACGACACATGATGGACGCCTGCATCAGTAGAGGTTGGCCAGCTTCTGGTCACGTGTTGTTTGGAGACGGAGCCGACAACACCAAGTGGTGATAAGTCCTCTTGCGTTACAGAAGTGCACTCAAGCGATGGCAGATTGTTCTTCCCCTTCCCAAATTTGTCTCAAGGTCTGATTTGTTGCTCGTCCTGTCTTTTCCTTTATAAGTGTTCTATGCGTCTTTCCACACTGAATCTCCTCGGACCTTTCTGGAAGTGAGTAATAACAGCTAAGTAACAAGGAGTTGTTCTCTCTTCTGCCCTGGTACAGATTGCTTTTTTCTTGGAGAAGGAAAACAACCCTTCTAGCAAGGAGCCTGCTAGGGAGGAGCCCTTCAAGACAAGCAGTGTCCCCATCACCCCCACCCCTACTCCTGTGCTATGCCCCCTGAATGTTGAGTCCAACTCCAGGGAAGACCTGGACGCCAGAGACTTGGAAATGTCTAAGAAAGTCAGGCGATCCTACAGCCGGCTGGAGACCCTCGGCTCTGCCTCCACCTCCACCCCAGGCCGCCGGTCTTGCTTTGGCTTTGAGGGCCTGCTGGGGTCAGAAGACTTGGCCAGAGTCTCACCTGTGAGGTGTTCAAAGTTAACCGAAGTCCCCAGGGTCCCTGTGAAGCCCTGGGCCCCAGATACCACTCTCCCCGGAATCTCTCCACCTGCTGTGAAAGAGAAACGAAAGAAAAAGAAGGTTCCGGAGATCCTGGTGAGTGAGGGGCAGGGCATTTCCTCTGCTGGCACACGGGACACACTGGGAGACATGCCGGGACTCAGGCTGGCCCGGGGCTCAGCATCTGCAGGGTATGGGTAGAAATGCCCTGGCCAACGTGCCCCTTTCCTCACTCACCTGTCCCCTCCTTCACCCCCACCCCCACCCCCCATTTCTCTTCCTCTAGAAATCAGAGCTGGATGAATGGGCTGCAGCCATGAATGCCGAGTTCGAAGCTGCTGAGCAGTTTGATCTCCTGGTTGAATGAGATGTCGTGGGGGCCGTATTCTCCCCTCCCTTGTACATAGCTCCTCCTCCCTGCAGAGAAGACACTTGGGGTCCCCTCCCCTGGTCTTGTTACCTGTGCATGTGCCGTCACCACACAAAGCCTGTCCTCCTCTGAAAGCTTGTGTAGCGGCGACAGCATCTCAGGAAACGTACTGCTGTCCCATGTCTATTCTGACCCACCGGCCTCTCCTTCCCTCCCAGGGGAGTCCAGCCAGTTTCCACACCAGGGAGTAGAGATTACTGGCACAGCCAGAGGAGGTGAAAGGCTGGGGTTGCAGGTGAGAGAGGACCTGGGCCGCCGTGGGGGATTGAGGCTGCTCTGCATCAGCCGCACCAAGCCTCAGGCATCCCCCCCACCCTGCATCGTCTTCTCCTGGGGGTTTGGTTCCCGGCCACGAGCCCATCTGCGTCAAGAAGCTTGGGCTCCCTCTCAGATTCTGTAGATGGTCCAGGAGAGAATTCTGAGGAAGAAGCTGGACACTGTAGAGTTTTACATTGTGAAGGAGGGAGGGAAGCTTCGGTTGGGTCTGAGACCATAGCTCTTACTATGAAAGCTGTTCTGTAGGTCTGCTCTGCTGCTGAGATTGTTCAGTTAAATGCCAGGCTGCTGGGGGCCAGGAGGGTGCGTTTTTCGGTGTGGCCATTAGGTGCCACAGGAACTGAGGTCCGGGCCTCTGGGGGATGCCTGCACAGGGCCGGGAAGGGGCTGTGGTGGGAGGTGCCCTTATCGTCGCTTAGCCTATTTCTTACAAAATAAAGTGCAGAGTCTACTCCACTGTAGAGGGAAAACAGGGTCAAGCAATCCGAATCCTAGTCCCACTAGCGTTTTGCAGCTACACCCATAAAGTTCTAGGAGGTGCCTTTTCACCTGCCAGAAAGGGACAAGGGTCAGAGGCAGTTTTAGCTTCCTTAGTGTCTGCTCACACGAGAACACTGCCTGACGAGATGTTAGGAGCAGATGGGGCGCGCGAGCGTGGGTGTGTTGTCTTATTGTTTCTGGGGAGCCCTGCTCCCCTGCTTCTCTTGGTTCAGTGCTGGTAAAGAGCATGCTCTCAGAGGCTGCCCTCCCACGATTTCTGCCATACGTCTTCTGACGTTTACGGGGCCGTGGAGGTAGAGGGGAGATGCACGCATGCTGGGTTAGGGTACTCGATGATCCGGCGCGGGCCCGGTGGGCACCCGTGAAAGCCCTCAAAAGGCCTGGGAATCCCGAGCTTCCTGTTCAACACTTCGTGCTTCGTCAGACCCTGCAAGCAAGCCCCCTTGCTCAGACGGGCCCGGACGCTCCAGAGCTCGACAGCTAAAGAATTCTTGTCCTCACTGGCTGGTGGGGTGGAACACGTGGGAAGTGTCTTAGCAGAGTCGAGAGTAGCCAGGTGCTGTGCTGATGGCATCGTTGCAAATTCTCGCTGTCCCTGAAAAACTAAGACTAGAGTTTAAGGGGAAATTGTGTTGTCGTTTTAATAAAAAAATTTTTTTTGATTACAAAGTTTCTGCTCATTCGTAGACTGCTGTTTTTATAGAGGCAGAGGCAAGGGTGGGAGGCCCAGGAAGCCAAGCCTTCTTTGACCTGTGTCACCAGGGTTGTCCCCTTGTGCAGGGGACTACCAGCCTGGCCTCTGGTGGCCCCGTGATCACTGCTCTGCTCTCACGTTTGTTTTTTTCTGTCCAGTCAAGAACAGGCCCTTCAAGGCAGGACTGCCTGGAAAGGGGGCCTCCAGGGAGCCCCAGCCCCTCCAGTCCCAGGAGGAAAGAGGTGGGGCTGCTAAGAGCTTCACCCGGTGCCTGGGGACCCGCTCCTCACAGAAGCCGGCCTCTGTTCCCCTGTGAGGCTCCTGCGAAGGAGCCAGCTTCTCACATTGGCCCAGCCGCCATGCCCTACGACAGTAGGGGCAGAGCCTCCTGGGGGCTAGTCAAAGATACAGGTTCAGTTCACCCATCCGGCTCAAGGACACCCAGGGACGCGTGTGCCGCTTGATGGCCTGTGGCGCGAACTAGTCTCCCTTCCAGCTCCTCTTTAGACTTGTCCTTGCCTCCTGGCCCTTAGAACAAATTAAGGTCTTTAACTCCTTAAATTCAAGGTGCCTGGGTGGCTCAGTTGGTTAAGCATCCAACTTCAGCTC